CCAATCTATCATATATCTTTACTTGTATTTAGTATATATCTTTATCTGTATTTATATATATCTTTATCATGGTATCTATATACTATCTTTATCATGTGATCTATATATATCTCGTATAATGGTATCTATATAATATTCTTAATCAATGTATCTATAATACAGTTATCTTTATCATGTATCGTAGATACATCTTTATCATGTTCTATAGTATATCTTGTAAACAATATCTATATATTTCATATCATATCTACAGTCATATTCCCACACGTATCTGCATATAAGTCGGCACCTGTTTTAATGCATCTATATATATCTATATCTATATCTACACGTATATCCACGTATCTGAATCTATGTATGTATGTATATCTTTATCGTATATCTATATATTCATTTCAATATCTACAATCATATCTGCATCTAAGTCGGCACCAGTTTTAATGCATCTTTATATATCTATATCAATATCTACAAGTATATCCACGTAATGCGTATCGAGAATATTTCGTATACTGTATGGCGGCTAGATGGCGGCTCTCGGATATGCGGTGGTCTGTATAGGGAATAGGGTACAGTATGAGGCTGATGTCGTACAAAAGTCGATTCGATAAGCTCGTCGGTCTGATGATAGGTGGGACGAGGTAAGACTTTCCGTGGTCTATTCGAACACAGCAGGCGCATATAAGTGCGTGTATGTATTGGATGACGCGTAGTTGATGTGTCGTGATAGTAATATTAGTAGGATAGTGCGGATGCTGTCTGATTGGAGAGGTGTCAGAGATAACATGCAGAGGATGACTGTAAGAGTAATAGGCGCATAGAATGGAGGTTTGAGATGTCGCGTCGAGAGTGCGCTAAAGTGCAGTGAGTGAGCTAGGCAGCAAGAGTAAACACGCAACGCAACTAGATAAGATGAAGTGACTGCGAAGTGCTGGAGGTTACTAAGAGTTCTATAGTGTAAGGGTACGCCGATCAGTGATTCGGTATCTGGAGTACATTAGATTACCGTGCTGTACTGATGATGATGGTAACTCAGCAGTGTGAGACTCATTTCTACATGCGAATATGCGAGTCCTGCAGTTCTTATGATATGAATGCGTATGTAGTTATGAGGAGTATGTGACTACATAGCTCTCCGTGAGGGCCGGCTGCTTTCAGTGGAATCTGCTGACGCTCGTTCGAAGATGGTAGCTGCAATAGGTCGTGCTAATCACGACTGGTGATCGGGATGGCCTACTATATGCTCTTTAGTGCGCAGTTCCAGCCAAGCGCGCCAGAAGGAAGCGCTGGATCGAGAGGTAAAGCATGCACAATTAAATCCCGGATTAGCGAGGAGACAGGAGCACACGGATATCCTGCAGCCGAGCTAATGGTCATAGTTGGTACACTGTTATTACGCGGAATGACGGATGTTACCGAGGGTGTCCGTAATAACAAGTGGTTAGGATTTTGTTAGAGTGGTGAGGATTGTGAGGTAAGGATGGTTATTGTGTATGTATGTGTGGATGTGCGTATGATTACACTCACGCACATACAGACATACACACACTCGCATACACCACTCCTACTCACACATATGCACACACTCCCCCCAGCACACACACAGAACACACCCACGGCCCACACACCCACGACACACAAATCATCACACACGACACACACACAGCACACACACACACAATCCACACACACACACACAGCCACACACACACACACACACAGACACACACACACACACACACACACACACACGCCACGCACCAACACAATCCACGTACACATCCTCCCACCAACACACATACAGACAGACTCCCCCCAGCACACAACGCGACACCTCCCCCTCCAAACAGCACTCACCCCTCCCCCACACTCACAACCCAATCACACCACACCTAACCCACCCCCCCCACACATACACTCACACCCCCTCACTCACCCCCCCCCAACACACACACACAGTCGAAATAAAAGCATCAGCATATCTTTGTGATTCCCCGAAGAAAGCAGTGAAAGAGAAGTCTGTCTCTGCGACTAACTGAAGGAGGATTGACGTCTCATTGGTATAGGAGCGAGGAGGAGGAGGAGGTAAGGGGAGGGGAGGGGGGGGAGGAGGGAGGGGGGATTTCTCTTATTCCTTTCTCTCTGATTATAATTTCTTCTTTCTACTTGGTCTATTGTTATTTTTCATTTATTTATCTATTTATTTGTTCAATTATTTCTCTCTGTCTCTCAACCATCTCTCTCTCTCTCTCTCTCTCTCTCTCTCTCTCTCTCTCTCTCTCTCTCTCTCTCTCTCTCTCTCTCTCTCTCTCTCTCTCTCTCTCTCTCTCTCTCTCTTCTCTCTCCCTTTCCCTCTCTCTTTCTTTCTCTCATTCAGGTAATTAAAGTCAACTTATCCTTTTTCCCTTCCATGTTTCCGTATATTTATTTGCCCTTATTTTTTATTTTTTGTTATCATAAAACTCTGATATTAAAATGCTAAATCTTAAGATAAAGTTTTAACCGTATAAGATATATCCTAAGTTAAGATTTTTAGCCTTTTGAGATCGCATTACATAGATTCACTTTTAATATGATTGTAAAAGTATTTTTTGAATATTTACGTATTCAGTACCTCAAAGATGGCATAGGTGCTTTGGTTATCAATATAATTAAATGGTATCAAGCGTTAATTAATTGTAAGTAAACAATAAGATAAACAATATAAAAAGTATATGAAAATTGTAAGGATGATAATAATAGCGATGATACAAGAAATATAATTATTAGTAATGATAATGATAACAAAGGCAACGATAATCATAATAATGACAGCTACAATGATAATGATAATGATTATGATGATTTTGATAATAAGAGAATGTTTTTGATAATAATGATAACAATTATAGTAACATTTATAATAATAACAATAATGATAATAACAATAATCACGATTATGATGATAATTGTGATAAGAATAATAGCAATAACAATAACAATGACAATAACTGTAATGATAATAATAATGTTAATAATAATGATGATAAGAATAATAATGTTTACAATAATGACGATAATAACAAGGATGGTAATGATAATAATACTAATAATTCGTAATCCTAACAATAATAATAATAATGATAATAAAGATAATAATGATGCTGAGAGTGATAACATTAACAATAATAATGATGCTGATAATAGTAGCAATAATAGTAATAATTATAAGAATAATAATGATAAAAATAATAACGATAATTATGATAGCTATAGATGTGATGATGATATAGCAATACTAGATAAATATTTAGATTACACAAGAGAAAGGATTAAAATAATAAAGGTTACATTACGATATTGATGATAATAGGAAATGTGATACTGATAAGATATCAAAATTATTAGATGAATAGTGGTGACAATGATAATGGATAAAATATATTTGAATAATGAATAATTTGAATAATGAATAATTTGAATAATAATAATTTGAATAATAATAATTTGAAAAATAATGGATAAAAATAATAAAGATAATAATTTACAGTAAGTAATTCAGGATTTTAAGGAATGCCACAAAATTTCCCTTAATTCCTGTCCACGCGTCCGCTACATCCCCCTCCCCCCCCCCTTTACCCTCATTTCTTTCCTCCCTTAATCCACCCCTTAACCCCCCCACCCCCCCCCCCTCCATAACTCTACCACCTAGGTCTTATTTTCTCTATACCATTCTTCATACCCCTCCCCCCCCCTCACCCTTTAAACTCTTCACTTCCCCTCGATCCCCTAACCCCTCAACCCCCCCATCCATCCCAACCACACCCTCTCTCTTCCCCCCTCTCTCCGCCCCCACCCCCCCTACCCCACCCCCCCACCCCATCCCACCACACCAACCACCCCTCCAAAAAAAAAAATGAACTACTCTCCCCTCTCCCTCTTTCCCCTCTACCTCACCCTACCCTCCCTACCCCCTTCACCCCTAGACTACTCTCCCCATCCCCCCTCTTCCTCCCCACCTCCCCCCACCTCACCCTACCCCCCTACCCCTCTAGACTACTCCCCCTCTCCCTCTCACCCCTACCTCCCCTACCTCACCCTACCCCCTACCCCCTAGACTACCTCCCCTCTCCCTCTCTCCCCCCCACCTCCCCCACCTCACCCTACCCCTCCCCACTCCTAGACTACTCTCCCCATCTCCCTCTTCCTCCCCCGTACCTCCCCTACCTCACCCTACCCCCTTCC